GCCCCCCAGCCCTGGTGAGGGGCTGTTCCTGCCCCACAGATCTATGGGGCGCCCCATAGAGCCCAATGGATGTGGGGAGAGCCCCATAGCAACGCTGAGCCCCATAGATCTGTGGGGCGCCCTCTAGTGAAGGAGACATCCCCCCCCCCCCAATGGATCTATGGGGTGACCCATAGCGAAGGAAGCGCCCCATAGGTCCATAGGGTGCCCCATAGCGCCCGAGAGACCCATAGATATGGAGAGAGCCCCATATCGACGACGAGCCCCATAGACCTATGGGGCACCCCACAGCGGAGGAGACCCCCAATGGGTCTATGGGGCACCCCACAGCAACACTGAGCCCCATGGGCACGGAGAGTGCCCTATAGCGACGACGAGCCCCATAGATCTATGGGGCACCCCAATGTGAAGGAGACCCCAATGGATATGGGGAGAACCCCATAGCAACGCCCAGCCCCATAGATCTATGGGGCACCCCAATGTGAAGGAGACCCCAGTGCATATGGGGAGAACCCCATAGCAACGCTGAGCCCCATAGATCTATGGGGCGCCCTATCGCGAAGAAGGCCCCAATGGATCTATGGGGCACCCTAGAGCGCCACAGAGACCCGTAGATGTGGAGAGAGCCCCATAGCAACAATAAGCCCCATAGATGTGTGGGGCGCCCTACAGTGAAGGAGACGCCTATGGGTATGGGGAGAGCCCCATAGCAAAGATGAGCCCCATAGATCTGTGGGGCACCCCATAGTGAAGGAGACGTCAGTGGATCTATGGGGCTGCCCCATAGCAGAGGAGACCCCAATGGATCTATGGGGCTGCCCCATAGCAGAGGAGACCCCAACGGATCTATGGGGCTGCCCCATAGCAGAGGAGACACCAACAGACCTATGGGGCTGCCCCATAGCGAAGAAGACCCCAATGGATCTATGGGGCCACCTCATAGCAAAGAAGACCCCAATGGATCAATGGGGCTGCCCCATAGCGAAGAAGATCCCAATGGATCTATGGGGCTGCCCCATAGTGACGAAGACCCCAATGGATCTATGGGGCTGCCCCATAGCAGAGGAGCCCCCAATGGATTTATGGGGCTGCCCATAGTGAAGAAGACCCCAATGGATCTATGGGGCTGCCCCATAGTGAAGAAGACCCCAATGGATCTATGGGGCTGACACATAGCGAAGAAGACCCCAGTGGATCTATGGGGCTGCCCCATAGCAGAGGAGCCCCCAATGGATTTATGGGGCTGCCCATAGTGAAGAAGATCCCAATGGATCTATGGGGCTGCCCCATAGCAGAGGAGCCCCCAATGGATCTATGGGGCTGCCCATAGTGAAGAAGACCCCAATGGATCTATGGGGCTGCCCCATAGCAAAGAAGATCCCCATGGATCTATGGGGCTGCCCCATAGTGAAGAAGACCCCAATGGATCTATGGGGCTGCCCCATAGCAAAGATGATCCCAATGGATCTATGGGGCTGCCCCATAGCAAAGATGATCCCCATGGATCGATGGGGCTGCCCCATAGTGAAGAAGACCCCAATGGATCTATGGGGCTGCCCCATAACAGAGGAGCCCCCAATGGATCTATGGGGCTGCCCATAGTGAAGAAGACCCCAATGGATCTATGGGGCTGCCCCATAGCGAAGATGACCCCAATGGATCTATGGGGCTGCCCCATAGCGAAGATGATCCCCATGGATCAATGGGGCTGCCCCATAGCGAAGAAGACCCCAATGGATCTATGGGGCTGCCCCATAGCAAAGATGATCCCCATGGATCAATGGGGCTGCCCCATAGTGAAGAAGACCCCAATGGATCAATGGGGCTGCCCCATAACAGAGGAGCCCCCAATGGATCAATGGGGCAGCCCCAGCCCCACAGCACCAGAACCCCCCCCACCCCCCTTTGCCCCACACTTATGGGGCGCCCCCTCTTCCCCCCCCCCCCAAGCCCCGCCCCCTCCCCCCTCGTGTGTTCGTGGCCCCGCCCCCTTGGGTGGGGGCGGGGCGGGGTTTTCTACCGCGCGCCAATGGGGGGGGGGGGGGGGAGGGGCAGCGACGACCAATAAACGATCGGCGCCTGCCTTGGCTCCGCCCACTGCAGGGGGGGAGCCAATCAGAGAAGAGGGGGCGTGGCCAAGGGGGGGAAAACCCCGCCCCCTCCCATTGGGGTAAATGGGAGGGGGGTGGCGGAGGGGGGGGGGGGGGGCGGGGCCAGCGCGGTGACGTCATTTGCCCCGCCCACCCCCAAGCTTCGGACCCAAAATCAGGCGAATTTCACCCAAATTGGGGCTAAAAAAGGGGAATTTTGCTCAAAATTCGCGATTTTTGCTCAAGATTCGCAATTTTTGCCCCAAATTCCCACATTTTGGCCTAAAATTCAACTTTTTCGCCCCAAATTGTTGCTTTTTGACCCATTTTTAACCCCAAAATCCCATTTTTCGCTCAAATTCCGTTGGTTTTCACCCAAAACCACTTTTTTACCCCAAAATTCTGCGTTTTTTTCTTCATAATTTAAGGGATTTTCTCAAATTCTGATTTTACCCAAAAATAGGGGGTTTTACCCCAAAATCCGCTCATTTTTACCCCAAAAACGTTTTTTACCCCCAAATTTCCATTTTTTACCCCAAAATCCTCAGGTTTTAACGTAAACTTGGTCATTTTGAAACAAATTCATCATTTTCAACCCAAATTTACCATTTTTTTACAGAAATATCAGCTTTTAACCAAAATGCCTGGTTTTTTAACCAAAATTGCCTTTTTTTCCCCAAATTCGTAATTTTTTGCCCCAAAATGTCATTTTTCCACTAAAAAGCCCATTTTCTGCCGAAAATTGCTTTTTTCGCCCCCAAACCCTTATTGTTTTACCCAAAATCGTGTGGTTTTCACCCAGAATGTTAGTTTTTCCCTAACACTCCAAATTTTACCCCAAAATTGGGGATTTTACCCCAAAATCGTTATTTTTTCCCCCAAAACTACATTTTCTCACAAACCCATTTTTTTCCCCAAATCATCCAATTTTACCCCAAAATTGCAAACTTCCACCCAAATTCCCAACTTTTCCCCTAAAACCAGGGTTTTTTTGCCCCAAAATCCTCAGATTTTAACGTAAATTTGGCCATTTTGAAACAAATTCATCATTTTCAACCCAAATTTACCATTTTTTTCAGAAATATCAGTTTTTAACCAAAATGCGTTTTTTTAACCAAAATTGCTTTTTTTCCCCAAATTCCTCATTTTTTTTGCCCAAAAATGTGATTTTTCCACTAAAAAGCCCATTTTTGGCAAAAAATTGCTTTTTTCCCCCCAAACCCTCATTGTTTTACCCAAAATCGTGTGGTTTTCACCCAGAATGTTATTTTTTCCCTAACACTCCAAATTTTACCCCAAAATCGGGGATTTTACCCCAAAATCGTTATTTTTTCCCCCAAAACTACATTTTTTCACAACCCCCCATTTTTTCCCAAAATCACCCGATTTTACCCCAAAATTGCAAACTTCCACCCAAATTTCCACCTTTTCCCCCAAAACCAGGTTTTTTGCCCCAAAATCACAATTCTACACCAAAATTGCGTTTTTTCCCTCAAAGTTTATTTTTTCCAGCCAAAATCAGTTTTTTAACCAAAAAGTTGATTTTTTCCCCAAAATTTGTATTTTTTCCCCAAAACTGCTTTTTTCAGCCCAATTTTTCCCAAAATCAGCCTTTTTGCCCCCAAATCCTCTTCTTTTCCTGTGTCCATGCAATGGGGATGGGGGTCACGTGAGGTCACGTGGGGTCATGGAGGTCACAGGCAGGGTCATGTGACGTCACACATTGGGTCATGGGGGGACCTATGGGGGAGGTCACACAGAGGTCAGTGGGGTCACATGGGTCACACAGGGGTCAAATGAGGGGCTCATGGGGGTCACATGGGGTCAATGGGGTCACATGGGTCACAGGAGGGGGTCACATGGGTAACACAGAAGTCAAATGAGGGGTCATGGGGTCACATGGGGTCAATGGGGTCACAGGAGGGGGTCACATGGGGTCAATGGGGGTCACATGGGGTCACACAGGTCAAAGGAGGGACTGATGGGGGTCATGGGGTCAATGGGGGTCACCTAGGGGTCACACGGGTCAAATGAGGGGCTCATGGGGGTCACATGGGGTCAATGGGGGTCACATGAGGTCAATGGGCGTCACAGGGGTCAAAGGAAGGGGGTCACATGGGGTCACACGGGTCAAATGAGGGGCTCATGGGTCACAGGAGGGGGTCACATGAGGTCAATGGGGGTCACAGGGGTCACACGGGTCAAATGAGGGGCTCATGGGGGTCATATGGGGTCAATGAGGGTCACACAGGGGCCATGGGGGGTTGGCGGGTGTGTCACGTGACTTCATGGGTGGAGTGTGTGAGCCCAGGTTGCATGGGAGATCACGTGGTTGGGGGTCACATGGTGGGGGGGCGGGGTGTCACATGGTTAGGGGTCACGGGGGGGGCGGTGTCACGTGGTTGGGGGGTTCACGTGGTGGTGGGCGGTGTCAGCCCAGGTCGCATTGAAAGATCACATGGTTGGAGGTCACGTGGGGGACAGTGTCACGGGTGTCATATGGGGGGGGGGGGTTGGTGTCACATGACTTCATGGGGGGGGGGGTGTGCGTGTCAGCCCAGGTCGCATGGGAGATAACATGGTGGGGGGTCACATGGGGGGGGGGGGCAGTGTCACATGACTTCATGGGGGGGTGTGTGTGTGAGCCCAGGTCACATGGGAGATTACGTGGTTGGGGGGCGGTGTAATGTGGTTAGGGGTCACGGGGGGGGGGGGGGGGGCGGTGTCACGTGGTTAGGGGTCACGAAGGGGGGGGTGTGTGTCACGTGGTTGAGGGGTCACGTGGTGGGGGGACGGTGTCACGTGGTTGGGAGTCACGGGGGGGGGGGGGCGCGGTGTCACGTGACTTCATGGGGGGGGTGTGTGTGTATGTGTCAGCTCAGGTCGCATAGGAGATCACGTGGTTGGTGGGCGGCGTCACGTGTCCCGATGACGTCACTCGGGGATGTCGATGACGAGCTCGTCGTCGCCATCGAGGCCGTCGTCATCGTCGTCGTCGTCGCCGCTCCCCTCCCCCTCCCCCTCCCCCTCCTCGCTCAGGAGGCGCCGCGGGACCGTGCTGGGCACGGGGGGAGGGGCAGGGGGCGGGGCCAGAGCCGGAGGGGGGAGGGGCCCCAACGGGGGAGGGGCCGGAGGCAGCTGCCAAAGGGGGGAGTGGCAAATGGGAGGGCAGTCCTGAAGCCCCGCCCCTTTGGGTACCCAGCCCCATAGCCACGCCCACTCCTTAAGCCCCGCCCCTTTCGGTACCCAGGCCATTAGCCCCGCCTACTCTTAAGCCACACCCACTCCTTAAGCCCCGCCCCTTTTTGTACCCAGCCCATTAGCCCCACCCACTATTAAGCCCCACCTACAGTTAAGCCCTGCCTACACCATAAGCCCCGCCCCTTTGGGGACACTATTAAGCCCCGCCCACTCCTGAAGCCCCGCCCCCTGTGTACCCACCCCATTAGTCCCACCTACTCTCAAGCCCTGCCCCCTCAAGCCCCGCCCCCTTTTGTACCCAGCCAATTAGCCCCGCCTACTTTTAAGCCCCACCTGCACTTAAGCCACGCCCACTCAAGCCCCACCCCGTTGTGTACCCAGCCCCATAGCCCCGCCTACTCTTAAGCCCCGCCCACTCCTTAAGCACCGCCCCTTCGGGTACCCACCCCATTAGCCCCGCCCACACTCAAACCCCACCCACTCCTTAAGCCCCGCCCCTTGTGTACCCAGCCCCATAGCCCCGCCTACTCTTATGCCCCGCCCCTTTGTGTACAGAGCCCATTACCCCACCTGCTCCTAAGCCACGCCTCCTCCTTTGACTCCGCCCCTCCATAACCCCGCCCATTTTAGCCCCGCCCCTTCGTCTCAGCCACGCCTACTCTTAAGCCACGCCTTTTAACCCTGCCCCCATTGTGACCACAGCCCCCTTTGACTCCACCCCCTCCCTTTTGACTCCGCCCCCTTTATACCCCCCTCCTTCAGCCCCGCCCACTCTTAAGCCCCACCCCTCATGTCCCTCCCGCACCCCCTTGACTCCGCCCCCTCCCTTAACCCTTTTAGCCCCGCCCCTTTGTGTTCCACCCATTAGCCCCGCCCCCTCCATTGACTCCAACCCCTCCCTTAACCCCCCCTTTGGGCCCCCACTCAAGCCACGCCCCCTTTAACTCCACCCCCTCCCTAAGCCCCACCCCCTTTGACTCCGCCCCCTCCCATAACCCCACCCCCTTTAGCCCCGCCTACTCTCAAGCCACACCCCCCCTTAACCCCACCCCCTCCTTTAGCCCCACCCCCTTTGCTCCCACTCCTCCCCCCAGCCCCATCCTTTGGCCCCTCCCCCTCCCTTCCTCCTCTTTAGCCCCTCCCCCCTTTAAGCCCCGCCCCGTTCCCCCCCCCAAGCCTCATCCTTTGGCCCCTCCCCCTTCTTTAGCCCCTCCCCCCTCTCACCTGCAGCCTCCGGGCCCCTCCCTTGTTCCGGCGGGGGGGGGCGGGGCGGGGGGCGGGGCCATCCGGGGCCAGGTACTGGGGGGGGAAGGGGTTGTAGGGGGGGGACGAGAGCTGGGGGGGGGGGGAGGGGAGAAAGGGGCGGGGTCAGACGAAGCCCCCTCCCCCCCCCTCCATCACGGAGGGAGCCAATGGGAGGAGGAGGAGGGGGAGGAAGGGGGAGAGGCTGCTTACCATATATGGAGCGGGAGCCGGGGTGAAGGAGGGAGGGGGAGGGGAGGGCGGGGGCGTGGCTCGCTTCCTGTGGGGGAGAGGTGAAAGGTGAGGCGCCATCTTGGTCTCATGGAGGCGGCCATATTGGCTCAATGGAGGCCGCCATATAGACTCAATGGAGGCGGCCATATTGACTGAATGGAGGCCACCATATTGACCCGATGGATGCCGCCACATTGATTCAATGGAGGCCGCCATATTGACTCAATGGAGGCCGCCATATTGACTCAATGGAGGCGGCCATCTTGACTCAATGGCGGCGGCCATATTGACTCAATGGAGGCAGCCATATTGACTCGATGGAGGCGGCCATATTGACTCGATGGAGGCCGCCATATTGACTCAATGGAGGCCGCCATATTGACTCAATGGAGGCCGCCATATTGACTCAATGGAGGCGGCCATATTGACCCAATGGAGGCGGCCATATTGACTCAATGGAGGCGGCCATATTGACTCAATGGAGGCGGCCATATTGACTCAATGGAGGCGGCCATATTGACTCAATGGAGGCCGCCATATTGACTCAATGGAGGCCGCCATATTGACTCAATGGAGGCGGCCATATTGACCCAATGGAGGCGGCCATATTGACTCAATGGAGGCGGCCATCTTACCTCTTAGCCGGGGGAGGCTCCGCCCCCTTGGCCCCCTCCCCGTCGCTGTTGTCAGATGATGCGGTCGCCTCCGAGTCTATGGGGGGGGGGAATGAAAAGGGGGGTCTATGGGGGTCTATGGGGGCTCTATGGGGGGGGCTGTAAGGGGGCTATGGGGGGGCTGTAAGGGGTCTATGGGGGGGTCTATGGAGGGTTTATGGGGGATCTATGGGGGGGCTGTAAGGGGTTTATGGGGGGTTTATGGAGGCTCTATGGGGGGGCTGTAAGGGGTCTATGGGGGTCTATAGGGGCTCTATGGGGGGGCTGTAAGGGGTCTATGGGAGGGGGTCTATGGGGGTCTATAGGGGCTCTATGGGGGGCTGTAAGGGGTCTATGGGGGGGTCTACGGGGGGGCTGCAAGGGGTCCATGGGGGTCTGTAGAGGGTTTATGGGGGCTCTATGGGGGGGTCTATGGGGGCTCTATGGGGGGGCTGTAAAGGGTCTATGGGGGGGTCTATGGGGGTCTATAGGGGCTCTATGGGGGGCTGTAAGGGGTCTATGGGGGGGTCTACAGGGGGGCTGTAAGGGGTCCATGGGGGTCTATAGAGGGTTTATGGGGGCTCTATGGGGGGGGTTTTAAGGGGTCTATGGGGGCTCTATGGGGGGGCTGTAAAGGGTCTATGGGGGGGTCTATGGGGGTTCTATGGGGGGGCTGTAAGGGGTCTATGGGGGACTATGGGGTGTCTATGGGGACTCTATGGGGGACTATTGGGGGTCTATAGGGAGTCTATGGGGGTCTATGGGGAGTCTATGGGGGTCTATAGGGGCTATGGGGGGACTATGGGGGATTATTGTGGGTCTATGGGGAGTCTATGGGGGTCTAAGGGGTTAATGGAGGCTATGGGGGTCTATAGGGGTCTATGGGGGACTATGGGCGGTCTATGGGGCTATGGGTGTCTATGGGGAGTCTATGGGGGGGTCCATGGGGGTCTATGGGGGGTTTAAAGGGTGTCTATGGGGGACAAGAGGGGGTCTATGGGGGTTCTATACACGTGTATAGGGGATCTATAGTGGTCTATGGGGTCTCTATGGGGCTCTGTGGGTCTCTATGGGGCTCTATAGGGGTCTATGGAGTCTCTATGGGGCTCTATAGGGGTCTATGGGGTCGCTATGGGGCTCTATAGGAGTTTTTGGGGTCTCTATGGGGCTCTATAGGGGTCTATGGGGTCTCTATGGGGCTCTATGGGGTCTCTATAGGGCTCTATGGGGTCTCTATGGGGCTCTATGGGGTCTCTATGGGTCTCTATAGGGGTCTATGGGGTCTCTATGGGGCTCTGGGGAGCCCCCATTGGTACCTGAGGAGTCGTCATCCACGTTCTCGTACTGCAGGAGCCGGTCCAGCAGGTAACTGGGGGGGAGAAAGGGGGCGTGAGGGATCTATGGGGCTCTATGGGGCTCTGTGGGGTCTCTATGGGGCTCTGTGGGGTCTCTATGGGGCTCTCTGGGGTATCTATGGGGCTCTATGGGGTCTCTATGGTGTTTCTATGGGGTATCCATGGGTTTCTATGGGTCCCTATGGGGTCTCTATGGGTCTCTATGGGGTATCTATGGGTCTCTATGGGGTCTCTACGGTGTTTCTATGGGGTCTCCATGGGTCTCTATGGGGTCTCTATGGGTCTCTATGGGGTATCTATGGGTCCCTATGGGGTATCTATGCATCTCTATGGGGTATCTATGGGGCTCTATGGGTCTCTATGGGGTCTCTATGCATCTCTATGGGGTCTCTACGGGGTCTCTGTGGGTCTCTATGGGGTCCCTATGGGTCATTTTGAGCTCATTTTGCTCAGTTTTGGGTCATTTTGCTCAGTTTTGGGTCATTTTGGGCTCATTTCCCTCAGTTTTGGGCTCATTTTGCTCAGTTTTGGGGCATTTTGGGCCCATTTTGCCTAATTTTGGCTCATTTTGCTCAGTTTTGGGCTCATTTTGCTCAGTTTTGGCTCATTTTGGGCTCATTTTGCTCAATTTTGGGCTCATTTTGCTCAGTTTTGGGTCATTTTGCTCAGTTTTGGGTCATTTTG